CCCCTCCATTTGGCCATTCACAAGAAGCGGCTGCAGTCAGCGTTTTGTGAATGGAGGAATAGAGAGGGGGGCATAGATGCAACATCAGCACAGGTATTAATGGAATTACTGCTAGTAGTCTTTTCAAGCTGTAAGAACAAAGCCAACATCTACCATACCTCCGAGATAACAAGCTATATACAAATACTATTGCAGTGAAAGGATTATGCTCCTACCGTAGTTGGGATTTAAGAAATAGAAACAATGGTTAAAAGGAAGCTTTACATTGAGTAGAAACCAGTTATACAGGTCTGAGGTGTTCAAGAAATTTGGGGCGGAGGCTGATCAGAGGCTTAAATGGGAACATGCATCATCATTGAGCCCGTTTTTTCAGCTTTTATCGCTGTGTTTACTGTAAAGTTTTTTTTATATATAGACTTGCATGTTTTTAATAAACCTTGTTCTCATTTTTTCATAATTGCATACGAAATTTCGCAATGAGAACTAGAATGCACTCTCAGTGGCTTACTGCAATTACATAGTCTCTCGCCAAACTGCCAAGATATTGGTCCCTCAAGGAAAGCGTTGTTTTCAGTCAGTCGGCTGACTCTCAGATTTGCAATGTAAAACTCGCAATACACCTATAGATTATCTGCAGATTTGTCCGATTGGCTCCTAACGCTGACTCTACCACTCCCAGTCGTAGTTCTACATAAGAATGACATCAAGTACAATTCAGGTACTTAAGCTGCCCATACACCTATAGATTTTCTATGGTCAGAAAAAGTTCTTGCTAGTCTGCCCCGCTGGCTCTCACAATACCTGAACAATCTGATTGGATGCAGGCATTGCTCAGGTATTATGAGAGCCAGCGGGGCCAACTAGCAAGATACTGAAGCTTTGGCCCAGCGTGAGATTCCTCCATCCACACAGTTTAGCGTAGATGGAGGAATCTGTCACACTTTTTCCATCTGACCATAGAAAATCTGCAGAAAATCGATAGGTGTATGGCCAGCTTAAAAGGAGAACTATGAGGTGAGCGATTTCCACTCACCTCACAGTTCTAGCCGACCTGTGACAATGAGACTGTCACAGGTCGGCTCAGTAGATCGGGAAGTGAGCGAACACATACCGGCGTTCGCTCACTTCTCGATCCTGTCACGGCTCTCTGCCATGGCAGGGGCTGGATTCCCCCCTCCGATCCTCCAGCGCTGACTGGCGGATTGGACGGGGGAGTGGGCGGGTACAGCTGGCTCTGCCTCTAGATAGGTAGAGCCAGCTGTCACTCACGCAGCTGGGCGGATCCAGACATAATTGTCAGGATCCGCTGCGGCGTCTCAGTATACCGCGAGCTATATTGAGCTTAGGGTGACGGGAGGACGGTAGTTTGTGTCCTCCCGTTACCCTAAGAAGAGCCCTTGTTAAGTAATGCAAAGAAATTAAAGCCTGTATATGTAACACGTAAATATGCGTGCCCTCGTACATACTTAACATATACACAGAAAACACAATCTACATAGCACCATCTTTTTGAAGTGCCAAGTTAGATGTGCGACACACAAATATATAACATTTTTGTTAATAGTTAACAGGTACATAAGTGTACTTTTAAGATTTAACTTCTGAGTTTAGTGCCACTTTAACTCAAGGCATCACAAAGCCCAGTGTTCCTGGAGTGCTGGGTGCTGAGAAGTGTGAGAGCAGCCTTGAATACATGACCACATGAAGCAAACCCTATACATCCAAGCTAGGAATATGTCCATACATGCCTAAGCAGCAATCCTAGACACAGTTCGGTCACACTGATCTGTCCCTTTTACTATACAAAAAAAAACAGCTGTCAGAATGGAAGAGATCTATGTCATGCGTGGGTGGTTAGAACAAGACATGTATCCGGTTAAGACCTGTTGTGCAATAATCCTGAAAGGCAACAAAAAGGTCTAATTGAAGAATTAAAAATAAAATTTAAAAAAAAAAGGAACAAACCCTACAAAGTATGCAAGTCCATTAAGAGCAACATAAAAAAAAAACAAAAGAAAAAAAAACACACTTCCACAACACCCCCTCCCCAAAAAAAAACTAATCTAGCAGGAGTTCCACTTTAATAAACAGTTTTCAATGGCCGATGTTGTCCAACAACCACACGCACAGTGACAGAGCACACCCAAGTTGTATAGTGCAGGAAATGACACACGGATAATAGAGGTAACTTTAATAAAAGGTAAACTGTAAATAAAGCTGGTTTGCTGATCACAATCTATAGATACCTGAACATTTTTACGGTAGTATTTTGTCAGCAAAAACATAGCTCAGGGGAATAGAGCCGAGTCTCCCGGCAATTAGATGAGCAGCAAAATCAATGAAGAGCAATGACCTAAAACGGTTTCTTGTAGCGAATGCCTGACGGATATTGATTTTGTAATCCATAAGCAAATGTCAGGGCAGATTTAACTTTCGAGTTAATAAAAACACCCTAAACAAAAGTGACAGAGCAACCTCAGCAGCCACCGCTTCCAGGGGAAAGCCATTGTTATAATGAAAGAATCGGCTTCAATAAACAATAGAATGTTTATGCTCTCTTCACAAATATTCCATAACATAGAATTCAAATGGTTATACTAGTTATATACAAACCACTATAAAAGTCTGACAACTGTATAACAATAGCTACTTCTGTAACATCTAAAATGTGTTTTAGACCAGTTTTCAGTCACTAAGGCCTCATTCACATGAGAAACGACCGGCAGGTACAGCTCCATGTAGGGCTGCAACAACTAATCGACTATAATCGATTATTGAAAAAGTTGTCAACTTTTTCATTCATCGATTAATCGGTTTCCGATTGGTTTGCCCTGTTCACGGCTCCACCCACACTGCGCGCCGCACCTCCTCCCCGCCTCACGCTCACCGCCCACCCACATCCACGATCGGCACAGGGATGCAGGGAGAAGACGTAAGGAGGAGCAGGTGTGGGTGGATGCCAGCCGCTGATAGACAGGACCGATCTCAGAAACAAGTTGCTGGAAGACTGCTCATGTAAGCCTGCACTTTCCCCCCACATGGTGCTCTATAATGTATTGCTGGGATAGTGGCATTTGTATTCCTCTATAGCTGATGGTACATTCTGCTGTACTGTATATTATACAGAGCAATATACCATCAGCTATAGGAGGAATACAAATCCCAGCAATACATTATACACTGTATGTATAATGTATTGCTGGGATTTGTTGTATTTCTATATAGCTGGTGGTATTCTGCATTGTGCTGTATAATGTACTATTGCTGGGTTTTGTAGTCCTCTATAGTCGATGCCATTCTTCATCATTGCTGTATAATTTTACACTTTTAATTTCACTATATTGCACACCACACTTTTCTTTTTTACTTCCACCGCTCCAAGCTTGCTCCTGTGATGGAGTGCAATCTCAATACAAACTAGTAGTCCCATCATTGGAGCCGTTTTTTAAAATGTATTTTATTTTTTAACCGATTAACCGAACTTAATAATCGGCTAACTAATCGATTTTGAAAATAATCGTTAGCTGCAGCTCTAGCTCCATGCACAGCCGTATCGGGCAGCTCCCGGGAAGGACAGGTGCTGTGTGCACGGCCATACCGGGCAGCTCCCGGGATGGATAGGTGCTGCGTGTGATTAGTACGCAGCCCCTGTCCTTCTCTATGGGACTACGCCGCCCTACGGTCTCTTGCCCTGCACGTCCGCGCGGGTGTCCGTACTCGTACACTGACAGGATGGATCCTTTTCGTGTCCGAGCCAGGACACCAGCACCCGTACAGACCTGCACTTGGGGTGAGTGCAGGGCGGTGTACGGCTGCAAAGTCCCAAAGAGAAGGACAGGGGCTGCATACTAATCACACGCAGCACCTGTCCTACCGGGAGCTGCCCGATACGGCCATGCACACAGAACGGACCTTTCTCGTGTGAATGAGGCCTAACATGGGAGGTCACCTTTTTTGATGGTATCAAAGCTCCAGACGGGTCATACTTCTACACCCTTCACTGCACTAGCTGTACACGGCTAGACTTCTCCCATTCAGCCCTGTGGGGTAAAATGAGAGGAATCACTTGATTCCCCCATCAGGGCCAGTTCACGCCACAAAGAGTACGTTCCAGAGTGTTCGGCCACTGGAACGCAACACAGCCGCCTCCCTGTGTTCAGAGGGCGGAAAGGGGGGGGGGGGGGTGTGTGGCAGTGCATTGAAGTCAATGGCACCGCAGCAACGCCCCCATGCAGCGCAATCGCCAGCACCTGAACGTGTGGCAAATTAGTGCCTGTGTTCAGTGCATGCACCATTTTTGCAGATCGCACTGGAACGGGACCCAGGCACTAGTGTGCAATCACACTGCGGGTAGGGGGCATGGCTGCAGTGCTCTTGACTTCAATGCACAGCCATGCCCCGCCCCCCCTGCACGCAAGGAGCCGGCAAGGTTGCTTTCCAGAACACTCTGGTACGCACTTTGTGGAGTGAACCGGCCCTCAATACTTAAAACAGTGTGGATAGAGGAATCTACACCTGCCAGCCATTTTATTCAGGCAGCTGGCACCCACGGCTATCCAGAAGTAACTACGTCCGATTGGATGCAGTCACTGCTCAGCTGACAATTTTCCACGCATTATATCAATTTTGTGATGGAAGTTTGTTGAGCTACATGGTACTGAAATGGGCCACTCATGTGGAAATCAGCCCCAATGTGAGCGGTATATGGCCAGCTTTTCACCACTAACCCAGTACAAACATGTGATTATCAGATATGATTGATTTATTACTTATAAAGCTCCAACAATTTACACAGTGCTTTACCTAGTGCACATTTACATCAGTCCCTGCCCTCAAGGAGCTTACAATCTAACGTCTCTATGTCACACGCATACATACAAGGGCCAATATAGACAGGAGCCAATTAACCTTCCAGCACGTCTTTAGGGTGTGGGAGGAAACTGGAGTACTCAGAAGAATCCCACACAAGCACAGGGAGAACATGTAAACTCCTTGCAGATAGTGACCCAGGGATCCCAGTGCTAGAAGTGCTAAACACTATGCCACTGTGATATGGTACTCAAGTGATAAAGGAAAGGGATGACAATCCTGGGAGGACGTACCTTCTAAAACAGAAGAGCAATAACAACTCCTATAGTTCAATCCTGACAGGTTAAACTAATAAAACAAACAGATTTATGATGCGTGTATCCATCACTACAATAAAAGGATTTTCTCCAAATCACCAGCATGATCCTTGAGTTGTTAATACTAACAAATATAATCCTAAAAGGAGAATGACGTCCACAAATACTGTGCTATTAAATGTTACATAAAATTCAACATTTCAAAACAATTCCCCAACATCTAAAGTTTAAACCGGCACATTCTACTCTCCATTCACTACTACGAGGCCCGCACCCTAATTCACCATCATCACTCTTCCATTTCCTGTGAGAAACTAATCCATCACCCCTTGATTGTCCTCCTACAAAAACACAATCCAATACAAATCCACCACCAAAGAAGGCCATACAAGAATCTAAACACACACAAAGAAACGGAAACACGAGGAATTAAAAGGCCCAAATCCAGATGATTAACTAGCACAGAACTTGTGTGCAAATTTGCACTAAACCAAAGCAACCGAGCCTTTCACATGTCAACTGTGGAGCAGAAGGATAAACACTAACCGGCTGGGAGCTATGCTTACATTAAAAAGGACATCCAGGGCAAAAACAAACTATCTAAATGCTGCTAGAAAAACATAGCTGACATACAATACTAATATATATATTGTATGTCAGCTATATATATATATATATATATATACACACACACACACACACACACATATATATAAATACAACTACTATAATAAATATTATATATGAATTTACAATAAAAGCAGAAATTTAATCTGCATATATTTTGCTTTAACTGGTTCCCCCTCATTAACTTGCTAATGATGTTTTGAAATAGAACCTTTCCATTTTCGTGACCTTATTTTAAGCCCAGTGATATCATCACTGGGTCTCTATACAATGCAAGCAGATCATGGCTGGTTGGATGGCAGACAGAGTGCTGTAGATAGATTCCTGAAAACATCACAGCAGCCTCAGTACTTCTTTCAAGAACCTTCATCCCTGAGGCAAGCAGTAGGCTGGCTGCTGGGAGAAGTTATGCAAATAATACCTTGGTGGAGGGATGTCAGTCTGGAGGAGTGGGAGTTTCTAGGCAGGCTGCATTTGCATGCAGAAGGCCCCTAGGTGACACCCACATGTGATGTGGAGCCTCCATAATTAAAAAACTGAAATCCAAAGACTTCATGGAGCAATCCAGTGACAGTCAGGAAGGGAAGCTGGTCATCCTCCAGCCAGGAAATGAGGCGAGCTCTATGTGACTTCTACACACTGGAAAAATCTCACGTAAATCAGAGTAACCAATTTCAGGACAGGAGATGACCCCATACAACGGAGCAAAACCAAAGGCATGGCTGGAGTTCAGCTTTCCATTTGTACTATAAAAGGGGAAACAAATGTAGGGCTGCAGCTAAGTCCTCTCACTGCTTGCATTGTATTCTGACAGCACCCACTGGCTGCTGTCAGAATAGCCCAACAGAGCCAGCAACCGATTGGCTGCCAGCTCTGTCGAGCAGAGAATTTTACAACTGGCTCCTGTGATCAGCTGATCAAGGGATGCCGGGCTGATCAGGATTTGGCCAAAATGCAGCATGTGTGTACCCGGCTCTAGTTAATGTCTTCATACCCTTGATATGGGGTAGAAGGTGACACTTTCTCTGCCTCACCACAATGTGCCATAGCAATTAATCAGCAGACTACATCGTTATTATAGGGGGGTGGGGCATAGTTACAGAGGTCCCTGCATAGAGGAGTTTTACATGAAAACTTACGTTAGCACATTTGTTCCCATCTATGAAAAGTGATCAGCAGATGTAAAATGCAGCAGAGAGGGCTTTCATAACACATGCTGGTTTCCTGAACCTCACCAATCCATTTAGATACTAGCTGCCCAATCCTCAGTGCTACAATAGGGTACCCAGGAGGGATGGTGCCATGCACATTCACATAGAAGAGAGTCACCAGCACGCCACTAATTCCATTACAACAATGTACTGTGAACACGTCATGTCACACAGTTCTATTCTGTAGGGGGGACATGGTTAAGCCCAGACCAGTCCTAAAGAGGAGGGAGAGAAACAAACTTGTCTTTAGCAGTGACATGGCTAAACCTGTATAGGAAGAAGGAAGTGGGGGGACAGACTTGTAAAGAAGTGACATGGTCAGGTCCAGGCCTGGGAGGGGGTCATTTAGAATGACACATCTAGACCTATATGAAGGAGGGGATCAGACCTGCCCTTAGCTGTGAGACACGCATAGGCCTATATGGGGGAGGGGATCAGACCTGCCCTCAGCTGTGAGACACGCATAGGCCTATATGGGGGAGGGGATCAGACCTGCCCTCAGCTGTGAGACACGCATAGGCCTATATGGGGGAGGGGATCAGACCTGCCCTCAGCTGTGAGACACGCATAGGCCTATATGGGGGAGGGGATCAGACCTGCCCTTAGCTGTGAGACACGCATAGGCCTATATGGGGGAGGGGATCAGACCTGCCCTTAGCTGTGAGACACGTCTAGGCCCAGGCAGGTAGAGGTGAGGCCTGATCATTACCTGCAGCGAAGTGTAGCGGTGTGGATTTTCTGCCCGCAGTGTCCCGGCTGTTCACATTATCGGCACTGACCAACTTCCTCACCCTCTCCACGTCCCCGTTCCTACAGGCCTCGAACAGTTCTCTGGCCGTGCCGCTCCGCTCCCCACACTCCATAACAAGCACCGAGGCAATCGATGTTCCCGTCAGCGGGCCGCCCCGGGGTGGAAGCGGACACCGCAGCCTTCTATACCGACGGGAAACAGCCGTCCAGCCAGCGATCAGTTCGCCCTGTCACGTGACGAGCAGCCAGCGCAGGGAAAACACAGGCTGGGCGCGTCCACGAGGGCGCATACCGACACATGGCACGCGCGCGTCTCTGACGTCATTCAGGCCGGAGCTCCTTGGGGGTCTATGGGGAGGGGGGAGAGCTTCCCATGAAAATGAAATGCCAGAACACGAAGATAGGACGTGTCATCTTCAGCCATCTCGCCCCTCCGCCGTGATGTCGGGAATAAATGATCATTAGAATACGATTTTAGGGCGTATTAAGTAAAAACAAAGTCTTGGTAACTGGATCCCAGAATCTTGCTTTGGGCCCCATTCACACCAGATCCGTTGCGATTAGGGTTGCCACCTTTTCTTCCATCGAAACCCGAACACTCTAGCGACACACGGAAATTTTCTTGGAAGAATGAGTTGCAGCTTTTTCATATGTAAATAGTGCCACCCCTTCATATGTAAATATCACAGTTGAGACTATTTTCAGTGGGGGGGCCAGTAGCACCTATCTTAATTTTGGTTTCTCCTGTGTGCCTGACATCTTGTGTCCGGGTTTCTGCTGCCATGAAACCCGAACACAGCATTCAAAACCCGAACTGTCCGGGTGAATCCTGGACAGGTGGCAACCCTAGTTGCGATACGTTTTTTTTAGCAGAGGTGGATGTGAACGGAAGGGAACCCAAAAATGTAATGGGAGTGAATGAGACTAGTTCACACTGGTTTGTTACGTTGCGTTACATTAAGGGCTTGTAGTAATTCCAAAAGATGTCACCAGCACTCCAAAAGTAGATTCAATATATTTTAAAGGAGAACTATGGGGTCAGTGTTTTTCCCCATAGTTCTCCTTAGGGTAACGGGAGGACACAAACTAGCGTCCTCCCGTTACCCTAAGCTCAGTATACCACGAGCTACAGCTCGCGGTATACTGAGACGCCGGGACGGATCACCACTCTTTTTCGCTACAAGCACCCTATTACAGACATCATCTCCTAGGAGATCCGGTAAGGAGTGCAGGAAGATACACACAATTTTGTACATTAAGGGCTTGTTCACACTGAGAGCGGTAGCTGCTGGAACGCACCGCAATCTTCCCCCTGCGGGAGGGGGCGTGGCGGTGCATTGAATTCAATGGCACCACTTCCACGCCCGCAGTGCGATCGGACACGTGGCAAAACTTTGCCTGCGTGTTCTGTTCCACTGCAAACGTAAAAAATGGAGCATGCAGCATTTTTTGCGATTGCAGTGGAACGCAACACAGGCAAAGTTTTGCCACGCATCTGATTGCAAGGGGGCGTGGAAGCGGTGCCATTGAGTTCTATGCACCGCCGTGCCACAGAAAAGCAGCTACCGCTCTGGAACGCAACGCTTTCGGTGTGAATGAGGCCTAAGCTGAAAAAAAGTAGAAACGCGCTGCTTTATTTTTCAGCACACCCATGCATTTTTCGGTGCTCTTGTGTAACACACAAGAATTGGGTAATTGTAACAATCGCAGGTCAACAGACCCTTATGATGACCTCCCGATTTTGGGGTGAACTCATTTAGAGTTCTGTTCTCATGTGTTTGTGATGTAGAAGACATGGATTCTGTCATTGTATACAGTGTCCTTCTATCAACAGCATTCATCCATGACTCTATGAACATTAAACCTACGTTATGGTATCAAACATTTATTAGTACCCAATTTTTGAGTAAAATATAAAAGGTCACATCAGGTAAATAGACACCAAATATGTCAAGTTTTAAAATTGTGCGCACCCGCAAAATCTCAAAAACGTACAATACCCAAAATTGGCCATAGGCCATGCTTTAAAAGCTTTTACCGCTCATCAGTTTAGTGTTATCAGTGATTGATGGCCCTAAAATTATTGCTCTCATTCCGACGTCCGTGGTGATATGTATCATATGTGGCGCACCCGACGACGTACTCGGGGGGCAGGGGACTTAAACATTTTTTGTTTATACCTAACTTTAAATTTTTTACCTAACTTTACATTTTTTTTTACTTTTTATTATTTTACACATAACTTTATTGCTATCACATAGGGGGCTTGTTAGTCCCCTATGTGATAGCCAATATACAATGACAGTTCCTCTTTATGGAGACATCAGGGGTCTCTAAGACCCCCTAATGTCACCTGGGCAGACCAAAGAAGCTGATGAAGCAGAGATCTGCTTCAGCCAGGAGCCAGAGAAATGACAGCTAAAGGCAGAAGTTATGTAACACACATCACTTCTGCCTTTAGAGAGAGAGAGAGGAGGAGAGATCAGCAGTGGGGAAATTAACTCTCTTCTGTCATCACTGGAAACAGCCGCTGTGCCGGTCCCGAACCCGCAGGGGGGACAGTAACGGTTGGATAGCACTAGACCTGCCTGAACGCTTGTATGTAACAGCCGGTACTGGCTGTTTACATGCACAGTGGGATTCTGCTTATGCGCGCTAGGAGGCGTGCGAGAGCAGAAAAAACAAAAATGACGTGCAGGTACGTCCACCCGATGGGAAGACCTTGTTGTCCGCCCGTGTATTTACGAGCAGACGGCAAGTAGTTAAAAAGGAGATTTTCCTTCACTTCCTGGACGATAGACTCAACAGGAAGTGAAAGCATATGCCCTCTTAAAGAGTTACTACTAATAGGGAAGGAAGCGTTCAGGATTCATAAACTTAGTATCTTATGTCCATTAGGTTTTAAGGGATTTTGATTTTATATTTATTTTTGTAAATATTGATCATATGTTTGTGTTTGTTGTGTCATCTTATAGTTTTATTTCAGGTTTTCCTTGTTTAGATTTTCTACCTCTGATGGCAGAAATACGTTTGCTTTACTGAGAATCCTTCACCGTGTTTTTGGATATATGCAGTGTCTCTCATCTGAATCACCCTTTAGATGGGTTCACACCTATGGCGTTTTTGCAGCGTTGATCGAAGCACTGAAAAACGCTCAAGATGTGAAATCCTAATAATTGCTATGGTCATGGTTCCCACCTAGGCGTATTTCAGCGTGTTTTGTCACGATGAAAAACGCCCTACCCGCGTAAAAGTACTTGAGCTTCTTTTTCGCGCGATGGGGCAGATTTCAGTGCGTATCCATAACCTTCCTGGTGGTATTCCCAAATGTGGCTCGGGGTTAAAGCGGTAACTCCGAGCCACACTCGGGAATACAGCGTAGCGTCTCTTACCTTGTCCACGATCCCCGCTGTGTCCTCCGGCCACTGCCGGCAAATGTCCAAACACCTGTAGCACACCTTACCGGACTTCCAAGAAGGTAAATGGGTGCTCGCAGTGACCGCGGATGGCGCCGCGTCAGGCAAAGATTGTTGTGAAGAGATGTCACCAGCACACCAATATGACAAACACGTCAAAGTTCAGTGAATCTTCATTTTTATTTTTCAGAAGTCACTTAAAGTAGTGTCAAGCGCTTTTGGGGCCGCGCAGGGTCCCCTTCATCAGGCTTAAAGCTGCCGAGATCCGTCTTCCCGGGTTCCGTCCCTTGCGAGCGACCGCGTCGCAGGGGGGCGGAACCGCGGGAAGTTTAAAAGTTAAAAAGAAAAACAGAGCAAAAGAAAAAAAAAATCATATCGCCAGGGAGGTTAAAAAACGCGTGTCAAACACGCGTTTCATTGGACAGAAAAACGCGCTACAAATGCAAGGGCAAAAACGCGCGTATAGCAAACGCCCAGGTGTGGACCCAGCCTTATATTCACCAGTTACAATTTCATAATCATAGAAGTATTTCATGTGTGCATGACATGATTTCCGCTCATTGATACTATTCATATGCTATGATTCAGATCTGCTGTTTAGCCTGACAGGGGACTTTTTCCCAAAACTGTTGCCATATATTTATCATTTAGAATTATTGTATCTCCTGCACTACTGCCAGAGACACACCTCAGCCACATGCAGCAGCAAACAATGTGAACCCCAACAAATGAAGAATTATAACTATCCTGTGCCTGTAGCCTAGCTTGGCCACTAAATTTCAGCTAGGGATACTCCTGCGTCAGGCTCTAGATTTTATATACACTCTATTACCAAGAGTATTGGGACACCCCTCCAAATCATTGGTTTCAGGTGTTCCAAACACCTCCATGGCCACAGGTGTATAAAATCAAGCACCTCAGCATGCATACGCTTCTACAAACATTTGTGAAAGAATGGGTCGCTCTCAGGAGCTCAGTGAATTCAAGCGTGGGACCGTGATAGGTTGCCACCTGTGCAAGTCCATCCGTGAAATTTCCTTGCTACTAAATATGCCACCGTCACCTGTTAGTGGTATTATAACAAAGTGGAAGCAACTGGGATCAACAGAAACTCAGCCACGAAGTGATAGGCCATCTAAAATGACAGAGCGGGGTCTGCGCATGCAAAAGCGCACAGTGTGCAGAAGTCACCAACTATCTGCAGTCAGTAGCTACAGACCTCCAAACTCTGTGTGGCCTTCAGATAGGCAAAACAATAGTGCGTAGAGAGCTTCATGGAATGGGTTTCCATGGCCGAGCAGCTGCATCCAAGCCTTACATCACCAAGTGCAATGCAAAGCGTCGGATGCAGTGGTGTAAAGCACGCCGCCACTAGACTCTAGAGAAGTGGAGACGTGCTCTCTGGAGTGACGAATCATGCTTCTCTGTCTGGCAATCCGATGGACGTGTCTGGGTTTGGAGGTTGCCAGGAGAACGGTACTTGTCTGACTGCATTGTGCCAAGTGTAAATTTGGTGGAGGGGGGATTATGGTGTGGGGTTGTTTTTCAGGGGTTGGGCTGGCCCCTTAGTTCCAGTGAAAGGAAAGCTTAAGGCATCAGCATGCCAAGACATTTTGGACACTTTCATGCTCCCAACTTTGTGGGAACAGTTTGGGGATAGCCCCTTCCTGTTCCAACATGACTGTGCACCAGTGAACAAAGCAAGGTCCATAAGGACATGGATGAGCGAGTTTGGGGTAGAGGAACTTGATTGGCCTGCACAGAGTCCTGACCTCAACCCGATACAACACCTTTGGGATAAATTAGAGCGGAGACTGCGAGCCAGGCCTTCTCGTCCAACATCAGTACCTGACCTCACAAATGTGCTTGTTGAAGAATTGTCAAACATTCCCATAGACACAC